TGTGTGTGTGTGTGTGTGTGTGTGTGTGTGTGTGTGTGTGTTCAGACTATAACATTATTGAGAGCAAAGGGTGCTTCTTGCATTTCTTTGTACCCATGGCAGTTAGTATAGTGTCTGATACATTGTAAGCTTTAATAACTGACTTAAACGGTTGGACTGGATGGCCTATAAAGTCCTTTCTGATTTTAAGTTTATAATCCTATGTATGAATGAATACATGAAGAAACTTGCTCACCTCACCAAGAGCCAGGGCAGAAAGAGGTGTATCTTCTGCAGGTTTCACCACCACTGTGCAACCAGCTGCCAAAGCTGCTCCTACCTTTCGGGTAATCATAGCACTGGGAAAATTCCACTACAGTCACAAAGAGGGAAAAAAAGAAGTTATAAGATAGTTCTGGAGAAATGTCTGCTTAATCAACCTGTCCCCTGGAGGATGAGTTATTTACTGACTACTAGATGGATTAATCACCATACTGAGCCCTGCTACCAGACACATGACAACTCTACAGGTAAGATACAAAGCCTACTGGGAAGAGAAACTTTTTTCCTTTTTCTTTCTTTTTCTTCTTTTTTTTTTTTTTGTAATTAACAAAAGTAACAAAAAAATCTGCAGGAATGAAATGCTGTAATGGCAGAGATCATTAAAGACAGAAGAAGATCCCATTGTTCCTCTTCGGGAACCTTAGTATAGACGGAAGACAGCCTGGAACCATACCATGCAAGGGGAGAGAAAACGTGGTGGGTTTGGAGGCAGAAGACCTGGTTCAAATTCCCTCTAGGAGATTACTTGGGTGAGTTACTTCTCTACATGTGTCCTCAGTTTCCTCATTTGTAAAATGAAAGGGTTGGACTACGTGATTTCTATAGGTCCCTTCTTTTTTCTAGCTCTAAAGCTGTGATTTTATGAACCTCTAACCTAGCTATGATGTGGGGAGAAACTGTTTAGGATTACAAAGAGGAGAGCAGAAAGCAGTTCAAGAAAGGTTAGGTAAGAAGAAACTGCTTAACTGAATAGATCTCTTCATGTAACGTCTGGGCTCCCAATCTAGACTGTAGGCTACTCTCGTAAGGGCAGAGGGACAATGTACCATACTTCTCTACAGCCTGAGCATTAATCATAGTGCCTTTCCTATAAATGCTCCCATTTTTGTCAATGACTTGAATGAAGGCACAGATGTCTTGCCTAACAAATTTTCACGAGACATGACATTGGGAAGGAGAGTTGATACTCTACATGATAAAATCACAATATATGACAATCTTGACAGGCTAGAATTGGGGGCAGGCTAAAAGTTAACAAGATGAAAATCAATAGGGAGAAAGTCTCACTTTTTTTTTTAGGCCTGTGATTTTATCATATATGGAGCATCAAGTGAGAAAATGCCCTCTGCCCATCGACAAAGATCAGCAACTATTCTGTACCTTATACTCTTAGGGGCACTGAGAATACTCTGCCCAGGATTACAGAGACATTACAGGGGAGAGTGGCATCTGAACCCAGTTATAACATCTTGTTCTCTGGTTCAAAAAACTGAATGTACAAGTACAGGTTGGAGGAGGATGTGAAGAGCAAGCATTATTGTCTTAAAAATCAAATGCAGGGGGGACAGCTAGGTGGGGCAGTGAATAGAGCACCAGCCCTGGAGTCAGGAGGACTAGTTCAAATCTGACCTCAGACACTTGACACTTATTAGCTGTGTGACCTTAGGTAAGTCACTTAACCCCAATTGCCTCACCAAAAAAAAAAAAGTTAAGACTTGAGCTGAATCCTGAAGACACTTGACACTGATTAGCTGTATGACTCTGGGCAAGTCACTTAATCTCATTGCCTAGCCAAAAAACAAAAAAAACCCACAACAACAACAGCAGCAAAAAATCAAATGCAGAGATTCTTGTGTGGAGTTCACGGACTAGAGGGAAGTGGACAGATTTCAAGAAGTTTGTAAACTTGTCTGAGGAAAAAATGATATCTTTATTTTCACTAACCTCTAACTGAAATTTAGCATTTTCTTCAATTATTTTGAAACCTTTTGAGAAGGGGTCCACAGGATTCATCAGACTGCCACGTCACAAAAATGGCTTAAGAACCTCTGGTCTAGGGGTTTTCAGGGGCTATAAGCTCAGTATAAATCAGTAGAATGACCTAATAATAAAAGTATGGAGTTTAGACAAAGGAAGGTGAGAGTCCTATCATATTCTATCCATGTATCTGTGTATATAGGCAGCTAGAGTGTGGAGGGGATAGAGGGCTGAGTCTAGAGTCAGAAAGATCAAAGTTCAAATCTGGCCTTGGACACTTACCCACTATGTGACCCTGGGCAAGTCATTTTACCTCTATTTGCTTCAGTGTTCTCAACTGTAAAATGGGACACACAATAGCATCCACCTCACAGGCCTGTTGTGAGGATCAAATGAGATGATATTTATAAAGTACTTAGTACAGTGTCTGGCATACAGTAGGTGCTATATAAATGCTGATTCCTTTCCCTCCCCTTACATTCAGATGGAGTATCAAGTTCAGTTCTGGGAAATGCATTTTAGAAGGGATATTGACGGGCAGGAGCACATCCACGAGAGGGCAACTATGGTGGTAAGAAGACTTGAAATTATGTTATTACAAAGATTAACTGAAGACACTGGGGATCCAGAGAAGACTCTGAAGGAACATGACAGCTATTTTCAAATGTTTAAGCGACATCATTAGAACTCTAAGGGATCTTGAGATCAACTCGTACAAGTGAATTCCCGGAAAGCAAAGGAACTCACTAGTCCAAGGTCACACAGTTAGCCAGTAGCAAGGTGGCTACTCCAGTTCCAAGTCCAGTGCCCTTTACAGGCTACCACATTGTCCCAAATGATTTATTTTGCTTGGTCTCAGAGGATAGGGGAAAAAAAAAAAAACACCACACTAATAAATTAAAAGGAAACAGATTTTGCCTAAATATAAAAAAAAATTATTTCCTAAATAGGGTTGTTCAAAAATGAGTGTGGGGGTAGCAATGTTCTAGTCATGAGACATTTTCAAACACAGGCTGAGCGACCACTCTGTTGGGGATATTGTAGGCAGGGTTCATGCTCTTGCTAAGAGAAGGATTAGATCAGGGGTTCCTAATTCTTTTTTGTGTCATGGACCCCTTTGGTAGTTTGGCAAAGCCTTTTATCAGAATTTTTTTAAACTTATAATCGAAGGAAATACAAATTTTCAGTTAGAGGTTAGTGAAAATAAGGATGTTTATTTTTTCCCCATCCAAATTCATGAAGCCCCTGAAATCTAGATATCCATGGATCCTGTAGAGATCTGTGGACCCTGAGTCAAGAAGTCCTGGTGTAGATGACTTTTGAGGTTTCTTCTAGCTTTGTGTATGAAAGATTATATGACTTTACATTTGCTGCTGCTGCTGATGATAATTACCATGAGTTAAGCAAACACTTTGCAAAATGTGACCCATATTACAAAAGGAGTTTTTACAGTTTGGAGAGTTACAGAACATAAAATTAGGCTTAAGAAAGCAACTTAATTAAATCAAGTACAAAGATATATCATTAGGATATGTCATCATGCCACTGAATTATCGTTCCCCTAAATAAGGCCCTTGCATTCCAGTAACACTCATCCCTATATGACTCTTAACCATTTACTTTTAAAAAATGTACTCCCACCCATCATTGCCATATCTAAAATTATCACAGGACTACTGAGTGATAAACCCACGTAACTTTGAAAAGGAATCAGGAAAATCAAGAACAGGTTCAGCAACTTTAGGAGGAGTCCAATCGTCCCTTGACGTTTGTGGAGTTTGGGGTGCAGGTCCACTATAAATGTGAAAAACTGTGAATAACTCTAAGCCCCACACCAAACCTTTACTTTTAATAATTCTGATCACATTTAATAAACACACAAAACAAGAAAAACAACCCACTGCACTCATAGAAAAGTTGCAGTTTCTACTCAGGAGAGATCAGTACCTCACACCACACAAGTCTCTGCAGCCACCACTGCAGCTGCTTCCCAAATTTCCTTCTCCTACATAAAGCACCATGGAGAAAACTACGCAATAGCAGAGAAACAAGGAGAGTACATAGCCACAGTTCTTTAGCGCACTGAAACTTCTAACAAAATTTCACTATAGTAAATTTATGTATATTTATGGTAGTTAAATGATAAAAACAGATTAATAATATACCATTTTTATGCATTTATGACCTACTAAATTATTTTAGTTTTCTTTACATACGTGCATTGTCTGTGATTTTGCCACAAACCTCCAAAAATTCTAATTATCAATGGCCAACCTGTGATATAACCAAAAACGAGAATGTGAAACACAAAAATGTATAGAGATGGCTGTACATCTTTTCACACTGAAGAATGAATAAACTATTTGATGAATCTCATCATTTCCCTATAAATGATCCTTTCAAGATCTAGCAAATCTTTCCACTTACTGGGGTGATGATGGCAGCCACCCCAACAGGCTGCTTCAGGACCAGGCCCCGCCTGTCCTTTGCAGGGGTATGAATGATGTCTCCATAAATGCGTCGTGCTTCTTCGGAAAACCACTCCAAGAAAAAGGCCGAATAAAGAACTTCTCCTTGGGCCTCCTTTAGGGGCTTTCCCTAAAATTAAACCAGAAGCATATAAAAGATACATCCATTGCTGAATGACTTGTGGGTTTGCCAGGGGTAGGGGGGGAGGACTCCTACCACCGGAGGGTGTCCTACAGCTTACAGTTTACAGTTTTCTAAAACGAGCTAACAATGGTGTTGTTAGTTAAATGATTTGTCCATAGTCACACAGCTAATGTCAGAAGGATTCTTTCTGACTTCCAAAGTCTACCTACTAGACCATTCTACATGTGCCTACATTCTCACACATCATTTTTTTTGCTGCTTTTTTAAAAAATTAATTTGATTTATCAACAATCACTTCCATAAGCAGAGTTTTAAATTTTTCTCTCCCTCCCTCCCCCTCTCCCTCCCCAAGATGGCACACAATCTGATACAGGCTATACATATACATTCCTATTAAACCTATTTTCACATTAGTCATGTTGTATGGAAGAATTAGAAACAATAGAAAGAACTATTAGAAACAGGTAACAAAATAAAACTGAAGAAAAAAATAGCAAATAGTATGCTTCCATCTGCATTCAAACTCCACAGTTCTTTTTTTGGAAGTGGATAGCATTTTCCATCATGAGACCTTTGTAGATCTTACACATCATTTTTAAAAAATGCATGATGAAGTCACATCTTTGATATCTCCAATATCCAAAAGGCTAGTATTGTTAAGTTCAGAATTTTAAAAAGACAAAAACAAAAAGAAAAAGAAAAGGCTCGTGTATGCTTTTTGTATTCTTCAAATTTTAAAAGACTTTAGTCAGTGTATTCCAATTTCACAATTCACTGATCTTCTCCCTGCAGAGGAATTCCTCAATTTATCATGGGTCTTAGAAAACAGTATCACAATAGGTGAAGGAAATAAAAGTGAGTTTATGTCAGTTAGGTGACAATAGATAGAGCACTGGGCTTAGAGTAAGGGAGATGAGTTCAGATCTGGCTTCAGATACTTAACTGGTTGTGTGACCCTGGGCAAGTAACAAACTTTATTCGTCTCAGTTTCCTCAACTGTAAAATGGGGATCATAACAGCACCTAGCCTCAGGGCTGTTGTGAGGATCAAATAAGATGCCTGTAAATCCCTTAGCATAGCCTGGCACACAGCAGGCGTTATATAAGTGCTACCTATAATAATAATGATCACAATAATTATTATAATCATTATATTATCACAATAATAATCGTAATTATACCATGATCTTATATTAGTAAAAGTCTACATTTGGTGCACGAATTTTCAATTTTCATAGCTATTTAGGAAAATGTATGGGTGAAAAAAATATGGGTTGGGCAAGAACAAGGGATGACAGTTGTTTAGCCTAAGTATTTTCCTTGGTCTCTTCCCAATGTCATCAAAAAATGAGGAAGGTCCCAAGCAAGATGGATGGACCCCCTGTGCCAAATTTGGACATGGACATGAACAAGAGTCACAGAGGCAGGCAAGGATGGGTCATGATCTGCACTGTTAAGAGAGAACTTCCAAGCCAATGAGACCACAGATCCATTGGAATATTTGACTAGCTAATCAGTGGGCTGGGGATTATTATTTTAATTTACTCATCTCTCACTGCACCACAATAACAATATTAAAGGGAAGATAAAAGCTTTTGTTTAACAAAGGATTCCTGGATACACCTACACACACACACACACATACACACAGAAGAGATGCCAGAGACATCCTGTTCCACACATATCTGAACAGGAACCTCTCTATAACATATTCAACAGGTGGTCATTCCACCTCTACTTAAAGTTACTCTCCTATTTGTTAGCATGAGAAAATGAGGAGAGCCTAACTTGAGCCCTTCACATATATATATATTCCTAGTTTCAGGGTAGCACATTTATACATCACCCTGGCTACTGACTACTTACTGATTTTCAGGATAGCTTCAAGCCAGGGAAAGCCACTGACCAGGGTAACCACTAAGGAAGTCAGACAGGTTACTCACTGTACTCACATTTTCAGCTGTGATTATCTTGGCAAGGTCATCTTTATTCTTTATCATCAGATCATACCATTTTCGAAGTAATGAACTCCTTTCCTAAAGGATAAATAAAAAGGAGAGCACCTTATCCTAATTGGCCTGTAGTTCAAAGAATGATACATGACTATAAATTTCTCAAAATATTACAGGCACATGGGATGATATGAGCAAAGAAAAAGAGATGTGGAGAGCCCAGAATTCAAAATTCAAGAGATATCAAAGAGATTATTTGATTGAGGTTACGTGAAAAGGAACAGTAAGAAATGAGGCTGAGAATGAAGCAGAGTCATTTCTGGTTCGGCGCAGCCCAGTCAAAATGGCCTTCTGACAGTTCCTTATGGGAGACCCCACCCTCCATCTCTTTGCCTTTGCTCAGGCTGTCCTCCAGGCCTAGAACGCATTCACCTACCCCTCGTGGAGTTCCTGGTTTCCTTCACAGCTCAACTCAATAGCTACCTCTAAGGAAGCATTTTCTTGATCTCTCCCAGCTTTCAGTGCCTCCACCAAAAAACTCCGTTCTATTCATTTCTATTATTACTTGCCTCTATGTACACAGGTGTCTCCCCAATATAACATAAGCCCTTGAGGGTAGGGACTGGTTCAATTTTGTCTTTGTATCCCCAGTCTCTGGCACACAATGGGCGCTTACTAAGTTGTTAATTAATAACAGGGATGGAGAATCAAAGATTTTTGTATATATCTGAAAATGATAAGCAATCATCATCAAATATAAATAAATGTAAAACAAAGAGTAAAATCTTATTGTAAAAATTCTTAGCCTTTAAAAAGCTAGAACCAAGTGCATAAAGCAAAAACAAAATTAAAAAAACACAGCACTTTTGTCCTCCTCCAGGCTGACAAAAAGTTCGATCACCTTGGGCCCAGTTTTTCCTCCTTTCTTCTTTTTTTTAAAATTATTTTTGAATAGATGGCTTTAATTGATATATATCTGCAATCAAAACATATACAATTCTGGTTTTGTTGATTTTACTCTACATCAACTTGTAGAGGTCATTCCTTATTCCCTAGTATTCTTCATATTTATTTTTTTAAAATAGCACAATATTGGGGCAGCAAGGTGGCGCAGTGGATAGAGCACCGGCCCTGAATTCAGGAGAACCTGAGTTCAAATCCGGCCTCAGACACAGAACACTTACTAGCTGTGCCACCCTGGGCAAGTCACTTAACCCCACTGCCTAACCAAAAAAAAAAAAGCACAATATTCTATTACATGAAGACATCATAATTTATTAAGCTATTCTCAAAACTGTTGAACATATAAATGCTTCTTTTTGCTATGACAAAGAAAGCTATTGATGATATATTTATGCAGATGAGTCTCTTTTATGAGGATATGGGGAAAAATTCCTAGCAATGGAATCACTAGGTTGAACAGTTTTGTTACTATATATCCAGTGCCATATTGTTCTCTTCTAAAAAAGTCTGTAACCATGTGCAGTTCCACCAGCAATGAATCTTTACTATTTTCGCTTGTTATTTGTGCTATCTTACTGCGTTTTAGGTGGCATCTAAGGGTTGCCTTGGTTTGCATTTCCCTGATGGTTGAGAAATTTGAATATCTTTCATGTGGTTACTAAAGGTTTATATTTCCTCCTTTGTGAATTGTTCATATCCTCTTCCTCCAGTGGGGAATGTATATTATTAGTCTTATATGTGTCAGTTCCTTATAGATTATAGAACTTTATCTGATATATTATCATTTTTTTACACTAATCACTTTCATTTAATCCTGGAGATACTGCCTTTTTATATGCAAAATCGCTTTATCATTAAGTAAGGGGCTTACCACAATTTATCAAGGTTGGAGAAACCTACGGCTGAGAGTAGAGGATCAGCTCCTCCTTTCCCAAAGCAGATAATACCAGAGAAAGTAAAGTGGAAAAGATAGGTAGTGGGAAGCTAAACAATGGAGTTGGGTGAAAGAGACTTTTAAATAAGGACTGAGAATCATTCCCCTGAAAAAGTATTTGCAAGGCTTCAGAAGGCCTCCTTCCCACAAAAAGTTTAAAGAAAACCCTCCCCCAAGAAAGGGGGCTAATTCTAGAGAGAAAGACTAGAGGGGAGCAACAGGGTTACAGGGTAGCGGCCATCCAAGAGGGAGTAAGTAGATAATTTTCCTCCTAAGTCAAACCTGCACAACTCTTCTTTTTAAACTTCTTTTGGACGCAGATAGATTAGACTAGAGACAGACTGATGATAGTTGGTTGCCACAAGTCATGTGACAAACAGGAGCGTGCACAGTGGCAACCCTACATTTTTTCAAGGGCTGCCCGAAATCCTTTAGCCAGCCACAAGCAGCCCTCGGGCCATAAACAGTGCAAGCTGTCCTAAGCCAAACACCTCCAACTTCCTGCCATTGTCATATTGGTATAACCAAGCCCATTTATTTTGTCGCCAATGATTTCTTCTGATTGCTCATCAAAAATTAACACTAGAGTAACTAAATCAAGTCTTTGTATTAGGAAAACTAGCTAGCAATGGTGTGTAAGATAAGTGGAGGGAGGAGAGAGTGGAAGCAGAACGACCAGTCAGAAACTTACCATAATAAAACAGGGGAGAGGTAATAGGGCCCAGACTAGGGTGGTGACAGTAGGAATGGTAAGGAGAGGACGCATACCAGGGATACTTTGGAGATAAAATTGACAGGACTTGACAACTGATTAGAAATGTAGGATGAGGGAAAGGGACGAGTCAAATATGACTCCAAAGCTATAAGCTCGGGTGACAATGTCAATGATATCACCATTCTCTCAGAGATAGGGAAATCAAGAGAAACAGGTTCTGGAGGGAGGGTGGGAAGAAATATGAGTTCAGTTTCATTCATGTTGAACTTGAAGTGCTAACGCAACATACAGGTGGTAATGTCCTGCCGGCAACATAACTCTAGTTTCAGAGAAATGTCACAGCTAGTGATGATAATTTGAGAATCATCCATGTCAAAGAAATGGTTGCAACTTCATGAATGGAAGAAATCACCACGGGGAGGGTCCAGGTAAGGAAGGGAACCAAAGATGTAGGCTTAAGAAAGGCCAAGGTTAAGGAAACATAAGATAAGAGATTAATCAGCACAAGATACAGAGGAAGAACACTTAAAGAAATAGAATACAAAAATGAAAATGACATAAAATTCTCTGACTTTTAAAAACCCCTCATAATCTGACTTCCACCTACTTTTCCAGTCTTCTTATATACTACTCCTGTCTACATACTCTGCAATCCAATGACACAAGTTTCCTTGCTGATCCTCCAACAGGATAGTTTATCTCCTGATTCTAGGCATTTTCACTATTGTCCTCCATGACTGGAATTCTCTCCTTCCTCTCCTGGCCTCCTTCAAGTCTCAGCTACAATCTCACCCTCTGGGTGAAGCCTTACCCAATCTCCCTTAATGCTGGTGCCTAACTGTATGTGTAATATCTCCTCCATTAGACTGAGAGCTCACTGAGAACAAGGACTGAGTTATGCCCTTCTTTTTATCCTCAGCACTTAACCACAGTTTCCGTTAAATAGATGCTTAATAAATGCTTGTTGACTTGACTTGGCATAATTCCTTCCCTCAAGGAGCTAGAATCTACTGGGAGAATATGCACAAATAAATACGATACAAGTTAGAATCTGATAGGGGCAAAGGAAAGATCTGGACAAAGCGTTCCAGGAAATTTTGAGAATAGAGAAAACATGTTCATGCTGGGGGTTAGGGAGGGAAAATCAGAAAAGTGGAAAGACTCAGGGAAGCCTTCATGGAAAAGGTGGAAGCTGGGCTAAGTTTTAAAGGAAGAAAAGTATTTCAATAGGGATAAAGAATCACAGAATCTGAGAACTGGAAGGGACCTAAGTAACCACCTAGTCCAAGCCATACACAAAAGGAATCCTCATTATATTCCCAACAAATGGTCAGCCAGCTTCTGCCTGAAGGTCACCAAGGAGAGGACCTTCTCCCCTGTCCCTCAACTTCTGAGTCAGTCCACTCTTTCGAACAGCTCAAAACAGAGGGAACGAGTGTTCAAGGCATGGGAAATGATACATATGAATACTCAGAGGCAAGGTAGTACTGAGAGGAAGGGATGGAGAGGAGTAAGGTGCTTGTGAAGAGCCTTAAATGCCAGCTAAGGAAGAATGTTTCCTGTCAGGTAGGTATATTCAAAGCACATTAGGTGTGGGTAAGGATGCTTGACTAACAGAACACGTACCCACATGCCTGCCAAACTATAAGAACAAATTATCATGCTCCTATATTCCCCAAGCAGAAAATTAAGACAATATAGTACTTTTCCTACTCTACGCATGAACACATTATCTGAACCTGTATTCACTCTTTTTCACTGGATTATTCCTCCCCACTCTTCTGAGTGACCTGACAAGTTGTTTTTTTTTTTTCCTATTACTGCACAAGGGTGTTCTTTAGACTAATGCCTGTAAACTTTAAAATGCTTGGGGCTTCTAGGAGAAAAGGCATCATAGATGTTTAATAACAACAATAAAACACTAATTATATCTTGTTTACTCACAACACAGTAAGGAGGCTATGAGTGCATACATGTAAATACATATATATGATGACAGCAACAGGTTATTTTGGGTCAGGTGAAAGAAAAATCAAAACAGAGCCTGTCGACAGGAAAAAAGAAAAATCAAGTCTGTGGTAAACATCTGAGGATGGGAAAGATCACTAACACACAGAAAATGATACTGTTGGAGAGAAAAGAGTATGGTTACTTTATGTATTATGACACACTAGAACGAAGAGAAATTTGCTGGGGAAAACACAAGGATTAAAAAAGTAAATTCTGCTTCCAAGATGAAATACACTGGTGCCAGTCAAACTTTATGGATGAAGGAGGAGGGAGCAGAAAGAATAAGTGATTCTTGAACTCTACGCAAGGTTGTGAGAGTGCTGTGGGGGATAACAGAAGTACAAGAAATGGTCCCTTATCCTCAAGAAATTTGCAACCAAGTTATGGAAAAAAATAATAAATATAACAACCAAGCTATACTGGGTTCAGAGAAGGGCAAAATCATCAAGGGCTAGAGTGATT